TCGACTGCTTGTCTTCCCTCCGTCGCGACACCAGGCTCCCTAGGGACAGCCTGGGGAGCTGGCTGTGCTGGGGAAGTGGGTCCCCCTCCCTGCTGGACCAACCCCACTTGCTGCAGGGGCAAAAGGGAAAGGGGTGGCCTTGTCCGCCGGGCGGTCAGCTCATCACCCAGCCCACGCTCTGGGATTTTACCATGTGGTCAGGTCTGGACGCCCTCGTCTGATCCAAGGCAAGTGGTATTTCACTACCTGCAGTGCTCAGAGCCTCCTCTCAGGATGAGTCCCCACGCAGACCTGGTGAGCCACCTGCGGGCAGCCTGGCTCTCGGGGAAGACGCGGCCCATGGAGTACCGCGTGGCCCAGCTGGAGGCCCTGGGTCGTTTCTTGGACGAGAACAAGCAAGACATCCTGAAGGCCACCGCTTTGGACATGCGCAAGGTGAGCCCACCATGGCCAGGACAGCTGGTGGCATGTGGGGAGCACTTCCCTGTCCATCACTTGACTTTTTTCCACCCTCTTTCCTTGACTTATGAAAGTGTCCGTATCTCGATCTGAGTTTTCTTGCTTTTCTGAGTCTCTTTACCATCCCGCTGCAGGGTAGTGGCAAATGGCTCGGTGGGTGCTTGGTTGCTGGCCAGGGTCAGCCCACTGCACCAGAGCAGCGGTGGCCTTTGTTTTTTTTTTTCCTGTATCTTCAGCTTAGCCTTTAGGGATGCCCCTGAAGGGGGGGAACCATACAGCAGCTCCCTCCAGCTGCACAGGAATGGGATGAATTAGCTGTGGGGAAGCCTTCGCTGAGAGCAATTGGGTGCCCTTGTGCCCATCTCCACCTCTGGAGCCGTGTCTGGTGTAGCTGAAGCTCTTGAGATACCAAATCCATGTCTTCAACAGCAACCTTCTACTGTGTCCCAGGAACCTGCTGGCATGGAGTGGCATGGGGCTAGGCAGCGTGCTGTGATGCGGATGGCACGCTGGAGGGGTGGCTGTGCCACCCATCCTTACCACTGCAGGGCCACAGCGTGTCCCTGGGGGTGTCTGCCCCAGCAGAGATGGTCACATCCTGCTGTGGCTACCAGGAGACCCCATGCTGACCTCTGTGAGGACAGCCATCATGGGGCGGCCATGGGGCTATGCCTGCAATGGTGGCCATGATGACCTCCTGTGTGTCCCCAGCCGCCCTTTGAAGTGGAGCTCTCCGAGATCTTCATTTGCAGGAGCGAGCTCAACCACACGCTCAACCACCTGGGCACCTGGATGAAGGATGAGCACGTGGAGAAGAACTGGGTACAGGGCGGTGGCTGGCTGGGGATGCCCAGGATGGGAGGCAGGCGTCCCTCATGCCATCCTGCCCTCTGCAGGTGACGCAGCTGGACTCAGCCTTCATCCGCAAGGACCCATACGGGGTGGTGCTCATCATCGGGCCCTGGAACTACCCCATTAACCTCCTCCTGGTGCCCCTCATTGGGGCCATCGCTGCCGGTGAGGCTGGGCTGTGTCCCTGCCATGCTGGGGGTACCAGAACCTCACTGGGGCATGTCCTGTGTCCTCCCTGGGGCGGGCATGGCAGTGGGGCTGCACTGGGGGCAGGTCTTCTGCTCCCCAGGAGTGAGATCCTTATCAGGAAGGAGCTCTCATCCTGCAGGTAACTGCGTTGTCATGAAACCCTCTGAAATCAGCAGAAACGTGGAGAGGTTAGTGGCCGAGATGCTGCCCAGGTACTTGGACAAGGTAGGAGAGTCCTCTGCTGTGGCCACCTCTCTCCACAGGCACCTGCCCCTCCGTGTCCCAAACGTGCTTGGCCAAGCCATGTCCTGCCGTGTGCTTGCACTGCTCCTGCCTGGCTCTGGTGCCACACTCCCCACCTCCCCTCTGTGCCGCAGGACTGCTTTGCCGTGGTGACCGCCGGTGTGGAGGAGACCACCAGACTGCTGGAGAACAAGTTCGACTACATCTTCTTCACCGGTACATACCACAGGGACACTCCAGTCCCATCCCTCTCTTCAAGGCAGGGAGACAGGCGTGGGGCTGCCCCAGCAATCCCAGTGTGGCTCTGTTGGGAGGTCTTGACTGTGCCAGGCTCATGCTGCTCCCCCCTGCCCACAGGCAGCCCCTCTGTGGGGAAGATCGTGATGGCAGCTGCTGCCAAGCACCTGACGCCCGTGACGCTGGAGCTGGGGGGCAAGAACCCCTGCTACGTGTCCGACACCTGCGATGTGCAGAACGTGGCCCGGCGGGTGGCCTGGGGCCGCTTCTTCAACGCGGGGCAGACCTGCGTGGCACCCGACTACGTGCTGTGCAGTGCTGAGATGCAGGAGAAGCTGCTGCCCGCCCTGCGCGAGGCCATCGCCGAGTTTTACGGCTCCAACCCCCAGGAATCCCCTGACTTCGCCCGCATTGTGGGGGACAAGCAGTTCCAGCGGGTGCAAGCGCTGCTGCGCAGCGGGCGTGTGGTCATCGGAGGACAGATGGATGCACAGGCCCGTTACATCGGTGAGGGCACAGGGTGTACTGCTGGTGGGGGGGTAGAAGCGCAAGGTGGGGGTCGCACTGGGTGCTGGTCTGCGACACCCAGCCAGGCAGCCCAGGCTCGGCTCTCCCCCTACAGCCCCCACGGTGCTGGTGGACGTGCAGCAGGACGACCCCATCATGCAGGAAGAGATCTTTGGGCCCATCCTGCCCATCCTCACGGTGGCCAGCGTGGATGATGCCATTGCCTTCATCAATGCCCAGGAGCGACCACTGGCCCTCTATGTCTTCTCCTCCTGCAAGAAGGTGTGGAGCTGGGCTGGAAGCAGCATCCCCCTCAACCTGGGTCACATCCTGCTACGTAGGTCTGGGTAGCCACAGGCATCCTCCCTCCCTGGTCGTGGGAGTACAAGAGCCCATGTCCTGTGTACCCCAGGCAGCAGGGAGGAGGTGGACAGTGGGTGCCCAGTGGGTGCTCAGCAGCTCCCTGCCCTCACCCCCCAGGTGGTGAACCGGGTGCTAGAGCGGACAAGCAGCGGTGGCTTCTGCGCCAACGACACCATCATGCACATGACGCTCACCTCACTGCCCTTTGGCGGCATTGGTACATCTGTCTCCAGTAACAGGGTGCTGTGGGACCCCCCTACCTGCTGCACCCAGCAGTGGCAAGGCCAGAGCCCTGCCTGCTCCCAGAGGAATCCTGCCCAGAGTCCTTCCAGCTCTGCCATCACCCACC